GGGGAAGGGATTGCGGCGTGACCATCCCCCCTGGGGGGTGATTTCTTGCTTTCTGTCTCTATGTCTCTTTCGGTCTGTCTGGCAAGCACACGTGCCCTGTAGCAAAAAACTCTCAAATAGTAATAATAATAAATAAATACAATTAAATAAGTAATTATTTTTAAAAAGGCAAAAAGTATGGGGGCCAGCAGGTGGCATGGTTGTTGAGATGCTAGACTCCTCACACAGTCAACCATGGTTCAATCCCAGACCTGCTGGCTTGCTTTCTTTTCCTCTGTGGAAAAGAGAAAGTGAGCAATCACTCCCCAGGGGAAATGGCCACACTGCAATCCCTTCTCTTCTATTCTCCTCTCAGAATCCTGGGCATGCACACATACGCACCCGGTGTGAGTTTAAGCCACCAGGTCCAGGACTCGAACTGCAGTTGACTACATAGGAGTCCAGCTACATAGCCATTACGCCAACTGCTGGTCCCTATTTATTATTTTTAAATTTGTCCACAGAGAAAGAGGGAGGAAAGTGAGAAAGCAAGTCGCCAGGTCCAGGACTTGAACTACGGCCGGCCATGTGGGAGTCCAGCTCCTTGACCACTACATCATCTGCCAGTCCCCCGATACTCATACTTAAAGCCACCATTGTCATTGCCAGGTTGCGTGTTAAATAATCTATGTTAATAACACCACTGAATCTTGATTATAAAGATGAAAAAAGAGACTCAGGGAATAAGTGATAGAACTACAGGGATGGAGCTGGTGAGTGGAGGGATAAGATAAGAACCCGAATCTGCCTGACTGTAGAGCGCATGTTTCTCTAGTCCATTCATCTGTGAACTGTGGGCTCTCTTCTCAGGGCTGTTTTCTCGTTAGTGTTGTAAACTCCCTGACAGTGGAAGCAGGTTACATTGGACATCTCCCAGCATACCTAGTCCAGGTCTTTGCACACGGCAGTTCAATCCAAGGAAAAGATGGAAGAAAAGAGCAAAAGCTGAGCATTAGACAAACATACAAATGTGATTTACTTAAAGGTACCTTAAAAGGTCAACTAGTGCACGCTATACCAAGCCATTAAGAAACAAACTAAATTGGGACCAGCAGCTGGCATAATGGCTATGTTGCTGGACTCCCATGTAGTTGACAGCGGTTTGAGTCCCAGACCCAGTGGCTTAAACTCACACCAGGGCATGTGCGTGCGTGCCCAAGATCCTGAGAGGAGAGTGGAGGAGAAGGGATTGCGGTGTGGCCATCCCCCCTGGGGGGCGATTTCTCGCTTTCTATCTCTCTGTCTCTCTCTGTCTTTCCGGCAAGTGTGCATACCCTATAGCAAACCTCTCCAAAAAAAAAAAAAAAGTAACAAGCTAAATCACCCCTCTATGGTATTTTTTCTCATAATGCTACACAGCAGCTAAGCCGCCCCCACTTCGCAGTGCTTGAAGCCCCTTCTCGTTTAAGCATTTGCTGAGCTGCTTCTAAGGGTTGGGAGGGAAGAATCTAGTCAGTCCAAACAGCAGTTATAAATTGAACTCTTGGGGCTGGCGAGTGGTGCGGTGGTTGAGGGTGCTGAATTCCCACATGGCTGACCACGGTTCGAGTCCTGAACCTGAAGGCTTGCTTTCTCTCTGTCCCTCTCTGGTCAAATTAAAATAAACAAATAAATAAAGTTAAATTAAAAAAAAATTATTTAGGGACTAGCAGTTGGTATCATGGCTATGTCGCTGGACTCCTATGTAGTTGACACAGTTTTGAGTCCCAGATCTGGTGGATTAAACTCATGCTGGGTGCGTGTGCGTGCATGCCCAAGATCCCGAGAGGAGAATGGAGGAGAAGGGATTGTGGCGTGGCCATCCCCCCCGGGGGGTGATTTCTTGCTTTGTCTCACATAAGCACCCTATAGCAAAAACCTCTCAAAAAAAAAAAAAAAAAAAAGTAAAACCTGAAAGTTAACTAACTGTAAAAATACAATCATGTTTATTTGTTGGCAAAAAGTACCTCAAATTAACTGAAGCTAAAATATAAACCTTAGCCATCAGTATGAAAGGAAACCGCACGAAGGAAATGAAAGAGAAGATGGAAGCTGTTTTCACCCTATCACTAAGCTGGCTAAGATCATTAACAAAAGGAAAGCGATTTCTACAAACACACGTTTTTCACTAGGAACCCATGTTGTGAAAGACAGACCATTCGGCTGATGCCACCTCGTGGCATTTAAAAGGAAGTGAAGAGAAAGGATTCCTAATAAATAGCTCCAGTAGACTTTGCTTGCTTGAGGTCTTTATTTATTTATTTTTTTTGGTTAGACTCAATAAGATTTAATCCGTTACAATAAAATTTGCCCCTCCCCCTTTTTAGTTTGCCTTAGGGGAGCGCGCACTCACCAGAGACAGACAAAGCGAGAAATCACCTCCAGTGACGTGTGCGGGGGACACGGGTAGCCACACAGTAATCCCTTAGGACCCGGGGCACGCACATACACATGCCAGTGTTGTTATTTTTTAAAAAGAATTATTTATTTAATTTTATTTTTTTCATGATAAAGTTTCTTTTACTTTTAAATGATTATCAGTACACCAAGTAACAACGTGTAACGAGTTTGTGAACTCTAAATCTAGTGTTTTGATAAAAAGAAACTAAAGCAGCCCAGACAATTATACTACTAGTCACTGGTCTCACCTTCAGCTGGAATGGACTACTCTAAGGCTGGTTGCTGCTTCTCACAGGTGACAAGTAACTACTACTTTTTCATAGATAAAGCCCCTGACCTCCAAGAAAGCATCAGGGAAGAAATATTATTTAATCCCTTTCTTTCTTCAAAGAATTTCCTTTTTTACTAGATCGAAGGAAGAAAAAGTTCACATTGAGATATGTGGTGGTTGAGCTAACGGCATAGGAAAACACATATACCATTACATTTCCAAGAAATATAAGGTAAACAGATGAAATCTTTGGTTAAGTTCTAAGTCTGTACAAAGAAGCTAGATCTGCTATTCTGCTACATAATACAGAGATAATTTAATGCCTTTCCCAAGAATGTAACTGGAGCTCTGTAATGCTTCATATCCCGAGGGCGTCTAAGATGCCCATCCCCGGATCAGGCACCCCCTCCTTCTATCTACGTATGTGGTAGTTTTCTTGGGTTTCTGGCTGGATGTCACAGACAAAGGCCAAGAGGTAATCCAAGACTCCATCCCTGATCTGTAGAAGTAGTTCTGGAGGATGGTCTCCTGGGTCTCCTTCTCCACGTCAGTGCTGCAACTAAACCGGGATCTCAGGGCCCAGGCTTCCTTGGCCTTGGAACTCTCTCCCTCTGCAGGTGGTACTGTGCAATTTCAGCCTGAGCTTCTTGGGCTTGCCTCTAGTTCCTTCGCTTGTGGGTCTCAGACACTCTCGGTGGCCTGCTTTTCGGCCTGCAGAAACTGCTGGATGCCCTGAAACTAGCATGGGTAGCCATGGCGGCGACTCCGAGGGCCCAGCAAGTGGCCTTAACTGGCTAGAGGGCCCCTTGGGCCCCATTATTATTTTTTTTTAATTTGCTATAGGACACATGTGCTCACCAGAGAAAGTGAGAAAGCAAGCTGCCAGATCCAGGACACGAACCTCAATTGGCCACGTGGGAGTCTAGCGCCTCAACCACATTACCTGTTGGCTTGCCAGTATGTTTTTCAAGCCACTGGGTCCAAGACTTTAACCATGGTTGGCCATGTGGGAGTGCTTGAGGCCCAACAAGGCCTGTGTAGTGGGAATGGAGGGAGTGAGAAAAGTGGGAATAGAAGATGAAATCAGGAAGTTAATGAGGAAGCCAGATCACATGGGGTGTTCTAAGCATTTTGGATTTTGACCCAGAGTAAGATGAGAAACTACTGGAATGTTTTGAGCAGAGGAGTGACATAAATAGACTTAAAAATCTGAAAGGATCAGACTGACTACTGTTTTCAGAATTAATGGTAGAATACAGGGAAGAAAGCAAGACCAGGAAAGAATCACGATTCTCAGCTAAGAGATGATGGTGTGAACCAAGCTGGCAGCTGTGGAGGTGCTGAGTGGTTTAAGTTAGAATTGACAGGATTTGCTCACAGATTGGGGGAGAACGAGGTAGAGTCAAGGACAAGGCTGAAGTTTCTGGTCCAAGTGACAGGAAGAATAGAGTTGCCACCAGCAGGTGTGGGAGGAGAAAGTTAAGTGTTGGCATGTGTATGTGCGTGTGCACGCGTGCGTTTGGTCATGAGAGTGGAAGTGTCAGGATTTAGGTTTTAGACAGACAAGGTTTAACATGTATTATTAGACATCCACATAGATGTTTGTGAATGTAACTGGCTATCAGAACCTGGGAGAAAGCCTGGGCTAGAGACACACATTGGGAGTTATTCAGTAGATATAGGTAGATGGTTATCTAAAAAGCCCAAAGGAGTATTTATAAAGAAGAGGCCTGGGGAACCAGCAGTTTGCATAATGGCTATGTCACTGGACTCCCACGTAGTTGACCGCAGTTTGCCAGGCGCATGTGCGTGCGTGCCCAAGATCCCGAGAGGAGAATATGGAGGAGAAGGGATTGCGGCGTGACCATCCCCCCTTGGGGGGTGATTTCTCGCTTTCTGTCTCTCTGTCTGTCTGTCTGGCAAGCGCACGCGCCATATTGCAAAAACCTCTCCAAAAAAAAAAAAAAAAGAAGAGGCCTAAGGACTGAGCCTAATGTTTAGAGACTGCATGAGCATGAAAACAAAAACCAAAAAAAACCAAAAAAAACCAAAACCCCAGCAAAACAAGACAAGAAAAACATCTAATGTGCAAGGAGGAAAACCTGGAGACTGGGGTACCCTGGAAGATGGGTGAAAAAGTGTGCTTCTAGGAGGAAGGGAACAGTGACAAGTACTTTAGAGGGCATCATGAGAACTGCAAATTCACCACTGGATTTATCATGGCAAAGACCTCGACAGGAGTAATTTCAGTGACACGGTGAGGCTGAAAGCCTGACTGGGATAGGCTGGAGAGAAAACAAGACAAGATGATTTTGGACAGTGTTTCAATATCTCTCTCTCTCTTTTTTTTTTTTTTTTGGAGAGGTTTTTGCTATAGGGCGGGGGTGCCCACCAGACCTATAGGGCGTGTGTGCTCACCAGACAGACCGAGAGAAACAGAGAGACAGAAAGTGAGAAATCACCCCTCAGGGGGAATGGTCACGCCGCAATCCCTTCTCCTCTCGGGATCTTGGGCACGCACGCACACGCGCCCGGCGTGAGTTTTAAGCCACTGGGTCCGGGATGCAAACCGCGGTCAACTACGTGGGAGTCCAGCGACACAGCCATTATGCTAACTGCTGGTTCCCTCACTTTCCCTTTTTGTCTCTCTTTCTCTTTCAGTCTCTCTGGTCAAATTCAAACAAAAACAAGTAGTAAAAAAATAAATACAGTTAAATGAAAAAACAATACTGACACATCATGAGGTTTTGGATTATCCGATTGGCAGGTAGTATCCTAAGCCCTGGGAGCACCAGAGCAATGAGATGTACAATTATAAGTAGATGGTCTCCCTGAAGACATTTACAGTCTACACAAAGAAGCAAGGCAACACAAACTGTTAATGTATTACGGATAAGGGGGCTGGCAGGTAGCATGGTGGTTAAGGGTGCTAGACTCCCACATGGCCCGGGCCTAGTGGCTTGCTTTCTTCTCACTTTCCCTATCTTTCTCTCTTGCTCTGTCTTCTCTGGTCAAGTTAAAAAATAAGCAAATAAATAAATAAATAAATAAAGCTAAATAAAAACAATTATTTTAAAAAGTATATATATATATATATACACACACACACACACACACACACTATGGTTAAATGCGTAAAGGCAGAACCCTGCTTCAGTGGTACTAGATTGAAAAAAGGAATCCAAATATTTCAAGTGTTGATTACCTTAATTATCCCATATCATATTCATAAATCATGACACTATTGAACCCCATAAATTTCTATAATTAAAAATTATCAATATACCAAGAAAGAAAGAAAGAGAAAAAAAAAAGCAGCTTAGCCGCTGTGGCACACAGCTAGCACCCCAGCTTGGGAGGCTGCAAGGCCTGGGAACGGGGCCCTGGACATGGTGGGTACAGGTGTGTCTGTAGTCCTGAGCTGGGGCAGGAGGCCTGTGGCCCGGTGAGACCCTGTTGCCTGTCTATTTCTCTCCATGTTTCTCTTCCTTCCTCCATTCCCATCATAAAGGGCAGGGGAAAAAAGCATTAAAAAAAAAAAAGGAATTCAGAAGAGAAATCCTACTGTACCCTAGAGTCCTAGGAACCTGGTATTACTCACAGGTAATACACCAAGCCTATAATTAAATTCTTTTGAGGTGATTTATATGGGCATGAATACATAATCCTACAAGGGAGAGGAGGCTCTTCTATTTCTTTTGCCCTCAGGAGGTCCTGCAAAGGCTTTGCCTGGAATTACAACACTGACCTATGAAACTAGCCTTTTCTACAACGCACTCTTGGAGAGGAGCCCGAGTTTTCTAACTTACTCTGATTGCTAGGGCTATCACAACATACGCTTGCTCAGCAACTATGAAAAGGAAAAGGTAAACAAGGTCGTTGTCAATCACCAGTTAAATGCTCAGAGGACACCAGCTTGAAATTCCCTAAGCTCTTCCCCACCTGCCCCTTTCAGAGACTGATGCAGAGAGTAAGTGACTTGTCCAAATTCACTTACAGTATTTTGGAGAGAGCTAGGTTTAGAGCTCAGGCAGTACGTACTGCATTTGCAGCCATAGCAGTTGCTTTAGATGACCAACACGCTCGTGTCAGTGCAAGAGGGGGAGGAGTAGTATTTCCTGTGTACTAACCATATACCAAAATCTGTGCTAATGAGTTTTTCAAGGTGTATGTTAAAAAAACGCCCTAAATCTACCAGTTTTTCATTATGATATGTTCAGCAAGTTAAACATTCTTTCTCTTGGGGCTGGCAGGTGGTGTGGTGGTTAAGGGCATTGGACTTCCACATGGCCAACCACAGTTCCAGTCTCAGACCTGGGACCTCTCTCTCTCTCTCTCTCTCTCTCTCGCTCTCTGTTCCTCTCTGGGCAAATTAACATAAAGAAATAAAGTTAAATAAAAAATAATTCTTAAAAACAAATTCTCTTTCTAGAGGCCAGCTGCTGACGTGGTGGTGAAGGCAGCTGGGTCCCACAAGGCTGACATCGCAGTTCCAGTCCGGGACATGGGGAATTGCCATTGCAATTCCCTGAAGATACACGGGGTGTGGGGAAACCTCTCACTGCACACACAGCAGTGAAAATGAGAACGAGACCGGTACAGATAACAGGCCAAACTCTGCATCTAAGTCAGACGCCCACTACACAGGGACACTGAGTGGAGAGTAGTGAAACTGAGCGACACCGCTTTAAGCTATTAAAAGGACCTGGTAAACAAGGTCTACCTAGCCTTACCCGCAGCCTCCCACTAGGGGAGGGGTCCGGATCTTTCTGTCCAGGCTCTGCCCCTGCACTATCCCCAACGAGTCACACGCCCAGTCCCGCTCTACTGAGCCCTCCACCCCGTGCCCGGAGGAGTGACCTGCCGCCCGGTTCCCATTCTGCACACCCCGCAGCGCTCCTTTTTCCACAGATGTGACATCTGCAGGGGCCTGGAATCCAAATATCTGGATTTGAATGCTGATTCCAGCAGTCACTCGCTTGCCATGTGACCTTGAGCAATTGAAGTCCCTTCTCAGTCCCGCTCTACTGAGCCCTCCACCCCGTGCCCGGAGGAGTGACCTGCCGCCCGGTTCCCATTCTGCACACCCCGCAGCGCTCCTTTTTCCACAGATGTGACATCTGCAGGGGCCTGGAATCCAAATATCTGGATTTGAATGCTGATTCCAGCAGTCACTCGCTTGCCATGTGACCTTGAGCAATTGAAGTCCCTTCTTTGAATTTTTTTTTTTAATCTCTAAAAACTCTTCTCGGCCCGAGGGACTCCCAGGCAGCGGCGCGGCAGGATAACGGACAGGGATGTCCAAGCCCAAATCGGAGCACTGCGCAGGTGGGAGGGGTCCTCCCGCGCCCCAAGGCCGCGTCCTGTGTCCAGCCGCTCAGCTCCAGAAGTCTCCGTGACTTCCAGGCCTCCTCTCTTCCCCCTCAACCCGGAACTCACCTGCAGGCAGGTTCCGCCAAGAGCTGCGGCCGGGACCCGGCGCCTCAAGGAGACTGCGACCACCGCCGCCATCTTGGCTCCTGACGTCAACCCCGCCCCGTAACCCTGAGGTCGCTCTCCGCCCGCTTCCCGGCGAGCACCGCGGCGCTGAGCCCTGGTCCACCGAGGACCCGCTAGCCGCGTCAGCGCCACCGAGTGGGCGGTGGCTTCTGGTTTTCGGGCCGGGCGGAGGGAAGGAGAAGCGAGCCTCGCTCGCGTGCGCAGTAGCGGTCACCACAGCGCATGCCCACTGGCCTCCCGCGTTTGTAAGGTGACCTTCCCAGAGGCGGGGGGGAGTCTGGGAGGGAGCGCGGTCTGAAGGGGTGGGGCCCAAGCCGAGGCTGAGCGGGTCCCGTCGGTCTGGTCCTGTTCCCTTTTAGCCCTTTTGACCTGAAAGTTTGTCGGTCCCATCACTCATCTCTGACACTTTGGTGGCTTTAGTAAGGCATTTGTCACGCAGTGGAGTTTCCCAGAGACCGTCCTGGTTATAGCACGGAAAGTCTCGCCCTCGGCCCAGCAGATGGGAACGTTGGTGAATGAGGCGATGTCACAGATGGCCAGCAAGGTGCAAATCGATCAGATCTATCAGGATACGGACGGAGCGCTGCCCTGCAGGTGCTCCCGGATTCCGGGTACACTCAGCAGGGGAGCTCTGAGCGTCACGGGGGCAGGTGGGGTGCGCACTGAGCAGGCTGTCCTTGGCTTCCTCAGCCATTTCTGCTCTAGGACAGCCCTGGGAGGGAGATTGTCTTTTAAAAAATGCTTATCTAGGCTTCTCTTCCATGACAACAGGCAGAGAGAGAAAGAGAGAGAGAGAGACGAGCGAGAGAGGGAGAGAGAGAGAGACGAGCGAGACCACCCCTCAACGGAGGGCTTATCACACCGCGGTTCTCCATCCTGTCCAGGGTCTTGGGCATGCTCACCCGGTGTTTTCCAAGCTGCTGTGCCCCGCCTTCAACTCTAGTTGGTCTTGTGGCATCAGGCAGGGCAGGCCAGGCCAGACCACGAGGTCTTGAGGCAGTGAACTCCGCCGGCCTCTGCCTCGGCCTCAGCCAGCTCCAGAGCATGGGCCAGCACTTGCCAGCATGTTCAGGGAGGTCTCTGGATATGAACCTGGAACCTTCCTGTGTGTGTCAACCTGTAGACTCCAGTACTGCTGCTCCACTCTCTGGCGCCCCTTTTTTGTTATTGTTTTTACACTTAATTCGATTTGCTATTATTATTATTATTTTAAAATTTGACCAGAGAGAGCGAGAAAGGGAGAGTGAGAAAGAAAGCTGCCAGGTCTGGGACTCGATCTGTGGTCAGCCTTATGGGAGTCTGGCACCTTAATCACCATGCCACCCCCTAAATATCTTTTCTTTAACAAATTATTTATTTAATATTATTTTTTAAGAATTGTTTTTACTGGGACCCGCAGTTAGCGTAATGGCTATGTCGCTGGACTCCCATGTAGTCGACCG